GTACGGCTGAGCCACATCCTTGATAGAGTGGGGAAGCTTATTTCTTAAGGAATCACTGTATCTCTGTTCATTACTCAAAAGGTAAAAACTTACTGGCCTTCTTCTAATGAAAAGCCAAACGTTCAGGCAGATCCTATACGACCCAAAGCCCAACATCCAGCTCCTGATGCAAGTAAGTGCAATCCTTCTTTGTCCCTGCAGGAAGCCAAACCAAACCACTGCAGGCACCACCCAGGCCACGAAGCAAATCCAGCCCTTCCCACCGCTGCTACCGCTGGGTCCAACAGCCCCACCTCCAAGGACCCTTCCGTAAAGCAGTCTTGCCTTCCTCCAACTTAATGAAAACCTTTCCACACCCTCTTATGAAATGCACATGTTCTGCCTCTTCTTTTGGTCTTTCTTAGACGTATTTTATAGAAAGCTAGCAAGCGGAGGTGTCAGGTTTTGTTTCTATTCAAAGTACCTCTCAAAGCGCTAGAAATACCTAGCATACTTTAAAAACAAATAAATATATGCCAAATGACAGACAGCCTAACACTGCACTGTCTTTCCAAAATCGTTCATTTGTTGGTTCCCAGTACTACAAAATAGAAAAATTCAGTTAAGAATACTTTTTTTTTTTGCGGTACTGGGGACCGAACTCTGGACCTTGCACCTGCCAGGCAAGTGCTTAAGCCGCTATCTCCCTAGCTCAGTTAAGGTTATCTTCACAGCGGAGTGTTAACTGTACACACCTAGAGTCCCAGCAATCTAAGAGGCTGAAGCAGGAGGATCATTTAAGCCCAGGAGTTCCAGCCTGAGCAGCACAGACCCTTGAGTCTCAACAACACTAGAATAAGTTTTTCACAGATATGGATCATGCAGCCTTTTTTTTTGGCGGAACCGGGGATTGAACTCAGGCCCTTGTGCTTATTCTACTGAGTTATCTCCCCGGCCCCTTTGCAGCATTCTTAGTTTCCCTTTAAAAGCCTGTTTTGATTTCTCTCCAAAAAACAAAGCACTGTTGGGCATGGCGGCGGCACCTGTAATCCCAGCGCTCAAAAGGCTGAGGCAGGAATATCGCTGAGTTTAAACCCAGCCTGAATGTACCATGAAATCCTGCCTTTAAAAAGATAAAACAAAAACAAAACTCCAAAACGAAGACTTTATGAAAACCCTTAGGATGCTGACCCTCAGCTGCAGCCGGTCACGCCTTTCTTCTTAAGGAGCGGTGCACCAGCAATCACCGTAAGCCACAAGGACCGGGATGCTCAAAAGGCAAGCCAGAGAGGTCCATACCCCCACCAAACAGGAGAGCGCTGCTTGTTAGAGGGGCTGGACCCACAACAAGCTGACAACCAGCATCCTCGCCGAGGTTCAGTCCGCAGGAATCACCCACTGAGCCAACTCTGCAACCCAAAGAATCCACAGTTTAAGTCCCACCTGTAATCTCTCTCTCTTTTTTTTTTTCCTCCTGCGGTACCAGGGATTGAACTCAGGACCCTACAATTGCCAGGCAAGCGCTTAATCTGCTGAGCTATCTCCCCAGGCTTCCACCTGTAATCTCGGGAAACTGATGCAAGAGGATCGAGCCCTGCTTGGGCGACATTGTGAGTTTAAGACCAGCCTGAGCTACCTAGCGATACCCTGTGTGAAAAACAAAACACCCTGCTCACACTACAGAAATCTGGAGTCCCAGGACTCACCCAATAAACCGCACCCCGAGCACCGTCCCAGTCCCGGCGAGACCCACCCCCTCTTCGTCTCGACAGGCCGGATCACCCGGCGCAGCGCTTCACTGAGCCCTGGGCTAGGATCTTGAGAACAGGGCCAGGTCATTTTGAGGTTGGGCCACGGGTCTCGGGGACAGGGTCTGGCCTAAGTCCTAGGGACAGGGGCGACCCGACCCGAGGGTCCCCGCGGTGAGGACAGGCTGGCGACTCGGGAAATTTCCGGGGCAGGCCCGGGCCCAGTCGAGGGTCCTGGAGGCGGGGCAGGGCGCGGCGGGCCAGACAGGGCGGAGGTCTGCGGGTTCTCGGGATCTCGGGGATAGGGCTGGATCGTGGGTCGGGGGTGAGGAGGGCCGGGCTGGGGTCTGGGGTAGGCCCGGCGCGCGCCTCACCGTGGTCCTGGTTGAAGCCGGCGTACAGCAGCCCGTTGCCGTGGGGGTTACACGGCAGGAGGTTCATGGCGCCTCCCGGAGTCCACCGCTTCTCAGAGCTGCATGCCGCTTAAAGAGCCGGGGAGGATTCTCCGGTCTGGCGGCGCTGAGGCCGCCGCAGCCGGAAGCGAGGAGCGCAGGGGCTTGCGTCGTGCGTGCGGACGTGTGCGCCTGCGCGCGCGCAGCCCGGATGTGCCGAGTACTTCCAACCGCTGTGGCGCGAGGCCCGAGCGCAGAGCTCGTCACGGCCGGGTGCGCGCGCGCTCGCCGCAGAAGCGCCGCGGCGCCACCTCCCGGCGGCGGTGCCGTCTTCACCCCATATGTGTCCACAAACGGACGCCCCACAGCCCCCGCGTATAGAGTCCACGCACAAGTCCCTCCCCCTTGGTACATATTCCCCTTTACACACAGTTCTTAACGCAGCCGCGTGTTACCGTCTCCCTCCCCACAGCCCCCATCATGTCCCCTGGGACACACATCACCTCCCGTGTCCTTCTGGGCACACAGCTCCACAGGTCGTGGCTCTCCTCCACTCAGATTTGAACCACGCTCTGTTCAGACAGTGGATGGCATTGAAGGACAGGAAGCTGGCCTTTGGGTCTTCTGTCCAAGGAATCCTCCACTCCCCATCCTTACAATTCCCTCCTGCTCCCCCTTTCACATCCCATTCCTGATCTCTTTGGAGTTCTTGGCACCGTGCTCCCAACCTCTAACCTCCCCCTCAGCCTGTCACCCTGAGTATCTTGTCCCTATGTTTCTCTGAATGCTGCCTTTGTGGCCTCCAAAAGTTTGTATCTCATTCCGAGTTGAGCTGTGGCTGTGGCCGAAGCGTTAGCGAGGGCATCTATGTACCGCATCAGGCAGCAAAACAAGCAGCTGGAGTCAGCCTGCAGCAAATACACGCACCTGAAAGACGCTGGGAAAGTAGAGGAAAAGAAAGAAAAGAAACAAAAACAAAACAATATTCAGCTCTCTAGTTCTACACTGAGGCAAGAGACAGTAGTTGGCAGGGGCCAACTTCACTTTTTGAGTGAAGTGTGTAAGAACCCCAGGCCTATGTAAAGGGGTTGTGGATCCACCTGTTCCTTGAGGCAGAAGCAGATAAAGAGCTAAACCCAAACCCTGAAGGAGCACTGGGGGTAGGAGACCTCACACAGGGGACCCAGCCTCTGCCAGTGAGCCCTGACCCTTACCAGGGCAGGGGACAGCATGGGAACGTAGCACTCGGGAAGTCACCTGGCTGCATGAAGCTGCCAGAGGGGTCCTCTAGTTCCCAGCTGTCAGCCAGCATCCACAAGCTGTCCAGCAGAATCAGTGATTTGCCATTCCAAGACTGCTCAGCTTCCCGACACAATTTTTTTGGCCAATATTCTTCCATAACCAGGATGTTGAGAAGGAACTCCAAGAGCTGGTATGAGGTGGGGAACAAACAATAAGGCCAGGTCTCTGCTGTGGTGTGAATACCCACCCCCAATACACGTGTTGAAACGTAGTTACCTGTGTGGTGGTGTGCAGAGGTGGCCTTAGGAGATGATTTAGTGGTAAAGGTGCAGCTGAGGCAGAAGAGAAAGCCCAATCCTACCTACCCGGTACCTTTACTTTTATTTTTCTTTCTTCCATCTTTGACAGCTATGACTGCTCTAAATGCCTTGCAGCTAACTGGAAACTTCTGTTTGGCCTGCAGCAAGTTTTGCTCTTGAGTCTGGTGCAGGTGACTACACTAAGCCCCCTCTGGCTGGCTCCACCCACCTTCAGCTGCTTTTGGTTTTAGATGTCCTTCCTTGTGACTAAGCAGAAAGTCTGGACTTGGTTGAGGGGATGTTGTGCTTATGCATAAGGCTGCTTTCTTTCATTTATTTATTTTTTGGTCTATATAAACAGCCTTCCCCTTATGCTATTGGAACTGTTCATGGACTACTCCCCTATATGTTGCACCATAAAACCTAACAAAGCCTTGTTGGATAGTTTTATTTTGCTTGTTCATAAATTCTGTCTCGAGTAGAGCAGGCAGGGCTGGTTGCACTAAGAGATGATAACAGTAAAGGCACTGAGAATGGCCAGCTGGGGCTGTATGATGTTAACCATGATGTTATCTTGAATGGATTAAGAAACACATAGCAGATTAGGGGAGGACAGTTCTGGGTGTATCTATGGATGATTGAGATATAGGCCAGCAAACTGAGGTGAGAAGACCCACCCACTGTGAGTGGCAACAACCAACAGGCTTATAGCCTGGATGGAATAAAAAGGGAAAGAAGGAAACCATGAAGAACTCCAGTTTTCCTGACAAGGTATACCCTTTGCTGCCATCATCCTTGTTGGTTGGCCTACGGGTCTCCTCCTTCTTCAGCCTTCCAATGCAGACTCAATGCAGTCTCCTACTGGTGTCCCTCCACTAAATGTCTAGGCCTTCAACCTTGGACCAGTGCTACATCATTGCTCCCTCTTACTCTGAAAATTCCATCTGCTTGGCCTGAGAGGAATTGGCTCTTCTATGTGTAGACAGCCATTGTGAATTGCTGAATGGAAGGTAGGCCCTGCAAACCTACTTAATAAATCCTTCTTGAATAATTAGACATATATTTTCTTTTTAAAATATGAACATGTATTACTCATGTCTTCTCTCAGAATTTATGATCTTGGTCTTTCTTGCTGTTATAGAGATCAGGACAAGAGACACTGGCTACTGTAACAATCTCCAAGCAGACTTCAGGCGTGTCACCACAGTATGACCTTTTGACTACATTCAGCAATCAAAACTTCATCATTTTCCTCAGTAAAGTTCAAGACCCTATCATTAGGAATAAATGCTATGATTTTATTGCTTTTCCTGATCAACTGGACCCCAGCACACTTCCTGATGACAGAATTTGGCTGTTTGGCTTCAACCCCTACTCTGTCCAGCACAATTCTCTTTTGGAGGTGCTTGCATGTGAAGCACCTCCAAAATAGTTGGCTTTAATGGGCACAGCTGCTGTCTCCAGCTACCAGAAGAGCAGCGAGAGAAGCTAACACTAATTGTTAAGAGCTGCTGGCATTCAAACCTCAGAGCTGCTAATGCTGAAAGAACTATACTTTGCCTATTTGTGATTTCTGTCTAAATGAGCAAAAGAATCTTTGGTAGATGGGTAATGGAACCCTCATAAATAGGATCAGTGACTTTCTTTCTTTCTTTTTTCTTTTTAATGTAGGGGACTCTGCTTCCATCCTTTTCTTTTCTATCCCTTCTCCCACAGGACACACAGTCCTGCAGGCACCAACCTGGAATCAGAGTTTCCCTCACCAGATGCCAACTCTCTGGTCACTTTGCTCTTGGACTTGCCAGCCCACAGAACAAATTCATATTCCTTACAAATTGCCATTTCTGGTATTTTGTTAGAGGCCTTTGTGGACTCAGGAGCTTCCACCACCCTCTCTGCCCTGCCCTTTGTACTGGGACAGAGAGTCTCACCCCAGGATGACCACAAAGTCCTTCCCACTCTCTAGCCTTCCCCCAGTGAAAGACTTATTTTTAGTTCTCCAAACTCAAGAAGCTTTATTCCTGCCTCTTAAATCCATGTTTCCTTCAATAAAGCTATTATTCAGCACAGAGGAGCCCCAGTATCTCTCTCTTTGTAAAAAGAAATATTACCAAGCCTGTAACTGACATTTATTTCAAGATCCCACATTATATCTAAGTAATTCCTCATCAAAGTTGTATGCTCTCTACCTTAGAAATTTCTCTAATGACAAAAATTCCCATGGGACAATTGAAAACATAATCACCCATAATATATCCTTAATCTTAATGTTTGAAGAAAGGTTTGTGGATGTCTGGGAATGAGGTGGCTCATGTTGCTATTTGGGAGGGATTTTGCCAGCTGCGAGAGCCATGGACTAGAATAACAAATGTCAAAGTTTTCTCTAGGGTTTGACTTACATTTCAATTCTATTTTCTGTATATTCACCACCAAAACATGCAGCCTTCTAAATATGTTCCTTATTAGGGTCTGTTTTTATTTAACAGAAATGCCTCTGTGAAGTGCAACGCATTACTTAGTCATTAGTTTCCAAGGGATGCAACAGGGCCACAGACTGGGTAGCTTCAAATAGCAGCTACCTGGCCAGCTGAAGTGGCACACACTTGTAATCCCAGCCACATGGGAGGCTGAGGCAGGAAAATTGCAAATTTAAGGCTAACCTGAGCAATTTATTATTATTTTTTTATTTTGGGGTTTTTGTCTATTTATTAAAAAATATTTGAGGACAAAAATCTCTGGCTTCCTTACTGAGTGCTGCTCCCTTATCACCAGGGCCTGAGTCTCTGGCACCCTCAAAGCCAGGACAAAGGTACTGTGGGAGGGAGACTCAGGTGGCCTGGCCGGGATCCGGGCACTGTGGCTCCTGTGAGCAGTTCCAAGCAGCACATGGGTACATGCTCGGAGGCGGCTGGGTGAATCCACCCCTGGGAATGAGAGACCAGGAACAGCTGCTGTGTAGAAGGTGGTGGGCAAAGTTCTGGAATTTGTGGTTGTAGATAGGCTGTACCTTTTCTGGTGAGGGTGGGGATAGAGCTTTGTTGCTGGGGGAAGAGGATTGGGATCTAGAGATTTTCCCTGGCAGAGGTAGGCACAGAGGAGCTGGGGGGTAGCAGGGGTTGGGGGAGCTTCGATCTTTGCTTGATTCCTTTCTGGAGGAGAGAGACGGTGGCGGTGGCAGTGGATGGTTGTTTTGATTGGAGGAGGGGAGGGAGCCAGCAACTGCCTTGGGGACTGAAGCTTATTTCAAAGCTTTTCCCATGATGTGGGGCCCAACAGGCAGCCATTTGATGGGAGGAGGGTGCCATTCTATTTGGACCTCAGAGAAATGAGCCTTCTTAAGATCCTTTCAGGTCTCTCTGGTGAGGTGGCAGCCATCCCCAATGTGTTTCCAGGTGGGCTCAAAAACTTGCTGCCACATCAGGGCCCTGCTTTCTTCAGGCTCAGCCATGCGCTCCAAGAAGAACAGTACTCCTCCCGGCCTCAGGACTCTGTGGACCCTGAGCAATTTAGCAAGGACCTATCTCAAAGTAAAAAAAAAAGGTCTGGAAGTATATAGCTCTATGTTAGAGCACTTGTGTCACATGTGTGAACCCCTGGGCTTAATCTCCATTGCAAAAGACAAAAACAAACAAACCAAACCCAATAACAGCAACAAAATCCCAGATACTTGTTCTCTCACAGTTCTGGGAACCTTAAATTCACAGTCATGTGTGGCTGGGCATCCTCAAGCAGGTCTTGGGGAGACCCTTCCTGCCTCTGCTGTCAGTGGCTTCCATGTTAGAGGACCAAGACCTGTGAGCACCTGTGTGCTCTCTGCACCTCAGCCTTCCAAAGGCTCTATGTTAGCAGCTTGGGGAACTGTATTCCACACCTTCTAGACCATGAGTGGAAATCTTCTGTCAAATCCAAAAAGGAGCAGAGAGAAAAGTCCCGTTCTGTATCTGTTAGGCGCAGACCAACCAAGGATCATGTAGGACTGAGGGGGAAGACAGAGCCTCTGCTGGGAGCCACCCCCTCCCTTGTCTTACAGCTTCCCAGAAGGAATTGCTGCAGCCAGTGGCCCTGGCCTAGTCAGCACCAGCTTGAACTCACTTGTCTTTCCATTGGTGCATAGCAGAGGAGCTGTGAAGGTGCTGGAAAGATGTCTGCACTCCCCCCCACCCCAGGATTGTCTCCCCCAGTCCTAACATTTGTATACACCCATGCCCCTGTGGACTTCTATATCCCAGTCATGCCCAGGTGGTGGGGCATCCCCACACCAGGCCATTTGTGGCCAGGGGCCACCGTGTACCGTGCTACTCAGCAGGCATGCTGCTGTATGATGGGGCCTTATTATAATTTGGATCTGAAATGGCCCAAGAGTCTCACACTTGGAGGTAACTGGATCATGCATCAGTGGACTTCGCCACTGCTGAGCTCAGTAGGGGCATGTGCTTGGAGGTCAGTCATTAAGCCTGTAACCCAGAAGGATATGTTCTTATCCCTGCCTCTGCTTCTGCCTGCTTTGTGCTTCCTGGGTGCCCTGGGATACACAGCTTGCCTCCTCACATCAGGCCCTTCAACTGCACCCTCTTTGTCTTGGAGCCAGCAAACCACAGTTTGAAACCATGAGGCTCCTTTAGGTTATGAGTGTCGTGCTCCCTTCGGCAGCACATATACTAAAATTGGAACGCTAGGTTGTGAGTGTCAGGTATTTTGTCCAATACTCATGAAAGTGACTCAGAAACAGAGGCCCGCTGAGCATTTTCTCATGTCACATCTTTGATTTACTCCCTCCCCTCTGTGTGAAGCTCTCCTTGAAGCCCAACTGCCCAGAGAAGTGCCAGGCCACAGGACCAGGGGAGAGCCATGCCTGAGGCCTCTGCCAAGCCATCACGGATCTGGGCATGGTATTGGTGATGGGATTTATTTTATTTTTGGGACAGCTGGAGGCAGTCTTAGCTCCCAGAGAATAGCAAGAGGAGCACAGGGCCTCTCTGGGTTTTCACGGACAGGCACAGGCATGGTTCTGTTTCCAACAATTCTCTTGCTCCCTGCATTTCTTTTCTGGAAGAGGAATCTTCCCCAACACAGCAAAAACTAAGCCTTGAGGTCTACTCATGCATGAGCACTGAACTGGCTGTCCATACCAGACTGTGAAGCGGAGTCAGTGCAGAAAACACTATGGGATGCAGGGCATGCCTGTAATCCCAGCACTCAGGAGGCTGGAGCTGAAGGATCACCACAAGTTCAAGGCCAGCCCAAAAGACAGATGAGCAAATGAAAAGGCTATGAAATACTTGGAGCTAGAAGGACCAGCACACAACATGACCAAGAGGAACAGGTATATGATTTATTGTTGAGAAACAGTTCTTAAATAGTAGTGTTTTCACTTCATTCTTTACTGAAACCACTTTCTTGCCTAACTGCATTGGCTATGTTCAGTATCACAAGAGATATCTTTGGCATTTTCTTCCTGTAGCTTCATAACTTGTAAGATACCTTGTACAAAAAAAGATGTAGATTTACAGAAAAATATGCATAGAAATCACTTATTGATCCCAAAATGTAGTAAACAACATAGCAAAAAACATTATCAAATGCATTTCAAACCCTACTGGACAGATCTATTGTACGTCATCTCTGTCCCACTGCAGCATTTTATAAATTGTTTTGATGTTAAAAAGGTTTACAAAACAGCCTCTCCTATAAGAGCAATGGCATTGGATTATCTCACTGTCACTGCTTCTCCAACTCCCTTGAATGTGGACTCCCCACACACCTTGTCTGCCTCATAAAAAGTTATTTTAAGGAAAAAGTTGCACTGCAGTCATGACAAAAATAACATTCAAAATTTCATGTCATGGAGTGCTGAGCAGAGTACTGATTTTCCCTTTATAAACACAAGTTGAGAACAAGAGCTTCATGCACACCATGTAGAAACATCAGTCACACTGAGTGGGTGTCTGTGCTGCCCACTGGCCGCGCTCAGCCCAGGCAGCAGTTTGGCCAAGCTGCCAAGCTGGAAGCTGTGTCCTGAGTCTGGCCTGGTTGTGTCCCGGGGAAAGTGTGCGAGGCTTCTCCGGAAAGGCACTCTGTCTCTTGGGGAACTCCCTAAGAGACCTTGCAGCTGTTTCTGGCGCAGTTTCCTGGAGGGCTCTGTGGGGCGCGGGCAGTCTTGGCCTTGCGCAAGCTGGTTCTCTTGTGCGGGGTGCTGGCTGTGAGAGAGTAGGAGCGGCCGTGCATCATCCTGGCATTTAGGCCATTGGCCATTGAGAAGGACTTCAGATGGCTCCGCAGGGCCAGGGGCAGCGGCAGCTTGTCCACCAGGTGCACGGGTGTGCAGGACACCACAGCTCGGCAGCACAGGTCCTGCAAGCTCAGCACTTGGGAGGGAGGAGAAAACCACATGAGGTTCTGCTGTCCCTGCCTATCATGGGGTTGGCCACAAGGGGCATCTGCAGCAGGCCTTCCTTCTTCCCAGGACTCAAACCCTCAACCTATACCCCTCCACTTCTGCCTGAAGTTGAGTGCGGAGACCCTCCTCCTGAGCCTTTTCTCTGAGCCATCATAATTGTTCCTCTCAAATCAAACACATTTACTTTTTAAGAGCATACACAGAAGCTGTGAGCTGGTTTCCTGAGGCTGCAGGGCAGCTCCCGCCCCATGGGTGAAACTCCCGTTCCTGAGCTGCTCACTTACCTTTGCTGGGTCGCCAGAGTCGGTCCATGCCGTGCCGCAACAGCACAATTCTGGCCAGCTCTGTGAAGGACTCTGTTACGTTGAAGTTGCACAAGGGGCTGACCTCAAAGAAGGTCACACCCAGGCGCTCAGCATAGGCACGGGCCTGCTCAGTTGGCACTTGCCGCTTGAACGCTAGGTGCAAGCGGTTCCCCACCAGGATCCGGGGTACACCAGGTGCATGCTGTTGGGAGTTAGAGGGTGGGTTACCCAGGTGAGGCTTTGTTGTATGTATTGAGTTGAGTGGCAACCCCCATCCATATCCAGCCTGAACTTCAGGAAGAGATCCTTATTCACAAAGGGGATCTTTGCAGATGTAATTATTGAAGTGAAGCTATACTGAACTGTCCATGGGGCAGGGTGTACTCTAATGACTGGTGTCCCTGTAAGGACAGGACATGGCAAGGACAGGGTAGAGGAGATTTAGAGTGATGTATTCACAAGCTAAGGGATGTTTAGGACTGTTACAGCCTGCAGAAGCAGAAGCAGCACCTTTTTTTTTTTTTTTTTTTTGCAACTGTAGGAGGAAACATGGCCCCTCTGGCACCTAGAATTTGGACTTCTACCCTCCAGAACTGTGAGACAACTAGCTTATGGGTATTTGTCATGGCAGCCACAGACCCCTAATACAGTAGACTTCATACTGAGGCCTTACAGGCTTCCACATAGCTCCTCTGCTTGTCAATCCACCAGCCACTGCAGGAAGCCAGGTCGGCCACTACTGGTTCTGGACCCAGAGCTCCCTGGGGCCTTTGCCCTGCCTGGAGCAGATTCCTGGCCTTGAGCATTCTCTGGCCTTGCACTAGTTGAGCTCAGCTTCCAGGTGCTGCATCCTCTCCATGCTGAAGTCCTGACCCCTGTCCTGCCCACAGCCCACAGCCAAGTCCCCAAGTCCATGGGGAATCAGTCCAGTGTGTCATTGTACCATACCTCATCAATCTCCTTAATCCACCTATTGATGCCATCGAAGGACCAGCGGTTTGCAATGTCATAGACCAGGATCACACCCTGCAGAAGAGGACACAGGCTTAACACACAGGACACACAAACAGGCATGTGGCCAGGGGGGTGACATGCTGGTTGTGAAGTCACAGATATAACTAACTATTGCTCTTATTCTAACACAAAATGTATAACTTTGATTTATCTTCCCAATTAGGAGTTGAATTGCCATTCTCAATGACATTTCACAAGTTCATTGATAATCCTTCAAATGTCAAGGTGAGTTGGGGACTAGAACTCATGTTCATGGACATGGAAAGTGGAGACCTGCAGGGCCATGAGGTGTGAGCCCCCATGTGGATGGATGAACACACCGGAACATCACACACAAAGGTACTTCACGTGCAGACATACATGTATATGCACATGTGCACATGCGTGCGCGCACACACACATACATGCATTGCTCACGCAATGAGAAAGGCCTGCGATCAAACATTCTTTTATACTTCGCCAATTTACACATAAGTCTGTGTTCCTCAGTCTCCAGTCACCCATCAGAGAGAACAGTTGGCCCAGTACCAGCAAATGCCATCACTCACACGCAGTTTGGTTCCCCAGGCTCAAGGACGCTGTGTTACCTGTGCGCCTCTTGAGTAGGAGCGGAATATGGTGCAGAATCTTCCCTGCCCTGATGTGTCCCTGGAAAAGATGTTGGAGATCGTTAAGAGAAATCAGCGCTGCTTCCTGACATCCAGATAACAAACAGGGGAGCCAGGACAAGGACCTTTCCCAGTGAATGTTGGGGGCTGATACATGGCCAGCCTAGATCCTAGCAAGTTACCTACTTCTCTTGGAGATAACTGGATACTGAGATGTCTTTCTGGGCTCATTCCATGTCCCATGTTCTCTTTTTCTTTCTTTTTTTAAGAGAGGTTCTAGTTACATAGTTGAGGTTGGTCTTGAACTCATTATGTAGTCCAGGCCAGCCTCAAACTTGCAGCAAGCCTTCTTCTTCAGCCTCCCAAATGCTGAGATTATAGATGTGTGTTACAATGCCTGGCTTTGTTCTGTTTTCTAATTGTTATTTTAAAAGTCAGATAAGAAAAAAGTGATGGGTTTTAATATGATTCTCAGACATAAAACTAAAATAGGTTTTTAAAATTTGGTTTACATCCAGGAGAAAAGTATAAAAACAAGGTACATAAAATAAATCCATGTTAATATGATGAGTTGTAAAAGGCTCAAGTCAATAACTTCTGAGGATAACCTACGAATATTATAGACTGCTAGACAGTGTTAGATTGTTTAGTAGAATTCAAACACCTATAGTGTTTAGATGCCAATAGAATATTCACCTCTGATAGGACAAAAAAAAAAGATACAAAGGAAAGATCACTTTGTATTTACATAGACAAAATAGGATAAATTTACAGCTACTTTCACTTAATTCAATGAGAAGAAAGAGGTGTGCTAACAGTGTTTGGACAGAATATCCTGTCTGCTTCTTGTGCTATTGATAACCACTAAGAAGATAACAATGTACAATGTATTGATTATCAAAACTGTCCTATTAATCAGCTGTGAAACTGTCTCATTTATATTTATTTCTCAATAAAAATAAATAAAAATAAAATTAAAAAAATTTGTTTTAACTGGAGATAACATTGTGTAGTAAGGAGTGTGAGTCTACACTGGGCAAGAAATAAGCCAAGATTGGGCATGACCCCCAGCTTCTGCTTACATTATGAGCAGTTCACAGAACATCCACCCCTAGAATTATCTCTGAGATGACTGATACAAGGCTCTGTCCAGGCACCAACCTTGCAGGGGACATACACACCTGGCTGCTGGTGCCCAGCAAGCCCAAAGCATGCTCCAGGGAAGTGCAGGGGAAAGGATACTCTTTCTTTCTTTCTTTCTTTCTTTCTTTCTTTCTTTCTTTCTTTCTTTCTTTCTTCCTTTTGCAGATCCGGGGATTGAATTTAGGCCCTTGCGCTTGCCAGGGAAGCGCTTATTCCACTGAGCCATCTCCCCGGGCGCCCCCCCCCCCAAGGATACTCTTGCACAGGGTCACTGTGGGGCCTGTGAGATGGGGTCACAGGGGGAGGGACACTCCTAATACAGTCATGCCTGTACACAGAACCAATCAGAAGTGCTCTTTTAAGTCCTTCATTGGGCACAGCCAATCAAAAGACACTATTCCTGATGCTTATTTACATGTTACAGGAAGCCAAAAGAGTTTTTTTTTTTTTTTTTCTCCGAATGCCTTCAGGGCAAATTTGGCTGGCTTGAGTTGTGGGGATCGAACCACAGCAACCTGAGCCTGACTGCTTTGTTGAAGCAGCCACTTAAAGAACTGAGCTAAGGGGCAGGCCCCCCAAAGGAGTTTCTTGATAGGTCACTTTCTATACCAAGTGACTGTTCGATAGGACAATTTTCCCAGCGCCTTATTTATATAAAAGGAATTTTAGATACAAAAGATCCATTCCTCTTTATCCTCAGGTTGCTGTAAACATTTTCACCTGCCTGTACTTGCTCTGCAAAGTATACTCTTTTCTGTCTTTAATAAATATGCTTTGCTGCTTTTTCTGTGTGTGGCAGAGGCCAGGATTCAGGCTGGGTTGGGGGTGGGGGCAAACCAGAGGCTGCTGAGGAGTGCAGCGTTGCACTGGGGTCAACATGGATATGGCCTGCAGCTGGCACTATGCTGGAGTGGTCTTGGGGTCTTACAGGGACTGAGGGTGATTCTGAGCATGGCCTCTGAGAACTCTGGGAGACTCAAGAAACCAGATCTGGCTTCTTGAGAAAAGTCCACAGCAGGTGGGGACAGTGAGGACTGAGAAAGAAGGGAGGGCACAGATGGCCAAGGTATTTGTACCAGGTCTGCCCAAGATTCCATGGGGGACCAGATTAAAAAAAAAAAAAGGATCCGAAACAATTCTGAGTTCCATTTGGGCAGCTGGAGGACATTCCTAAGAAGGCATTTCCTAACCCAGGTCAGAAATAGGCAGGACAGACATAAGTTTCTCTATGAGTTGAGTGGACATTCAGGCCTCCTGAGGTGCTAGTCTCTGAAGTCAGGGCCAGGGTGTGCTGGGAATGTGGCTCTTGGGCAGTGCCTACTCCATCAGAGACTGGGGATCTAGGGGAGCAGGGTGATAGCCCACAGTGACCCTGGGCAGCCCAGCTGCACTCAGAGCTAGGGACACTGTAGAGAGACCCCTTGGCTGGCCCTGGAGGTGTGTGTGGTCTGGGAGTGTGTTAGCATGGTCTGGTGGAGTAAAGGTGGGGAAAGGAGTATGCAAGTACAGCAGGTTCTGCCCCAGGAAGCCCAGGACAGGCGGTCCGAGGACATAACCACCCCTACGCCCAAGGCTAAAGGATGGAATGAGCAAAGCTGCCAAGCCAGGACTTCCTTGTGGATCAAGGAGGAGATCCTGTCCAGTGATCAGGGTGAGGAGCTCCCCAGCATCGCACTGTTCCACCTTGTCCACCCTCTCAGGGCCTGCAAGGGTCCCAAAGTCAAGAGCTATACACTGGGGGTGCTGGAGCCTAGCTGCCTCAGTCAGGATATAGTAGTCCCCTCCAACATCAGGGCAGCAGGGGACAGACATCCCATGTATGCACCTCTCGGGTTTGTCTCACCCTGGACTAGGGTTAGGGTTAGGAGTTAGGGGTAATGTTAGGGTTAGATATATAGGAGGTTATAAGGTGAAGGATGGGGTTTTGGGTTAGAAAATTGGGATCAGAAGTTAGTGTTCAGGTTAGAATGACTTTTTGGCCAACAAGGGCCTGCTGATATGACAGTTGATGGCTCTACGGCCCTGACAACTCAGGACCTACCATCGTTCTGGGAAGTCACAGCTCAGGCTAGAACAAAAGGGTGAGGTCCCGGGGAGGGGTCAGCACTTTGGGGCAGGCGCCTTGACTCACCACAGCTGCAGCTTCACCCGTCGCCCGTCTAGCAGGATGGTGGTTGTCTTGTGGTCAATCCCTGGGAAAGGGGTGGGCACCACTTAGGTGTGGGACTTCCCACGGTTACGTTCTGTACTAGGATGTTGGATTCAAGGCTCTCCCACATTTGTGGGAGGATCTCTCCAGGTTTACAAGGCGGTGGACACGACCTTGTCTGTGCACCTCCCCAGTGGACAGCCCACCTCCCCATGCCTTCAACTCTCCTTTCTGCCCTTCATGCAGACCCAGGCATCATTGGCCACCGCCAGCCAGCATCCAGACCTCCCCACCTGGGCCTAGTGGGCTCAGCCTGCCATGGCCACTGCCACAGACTGGGCACACACCCAGGAGGGCCAGGTTCATCCCATGGGGCAACACAGACCTGTGCTCCTGTGAGCTGCTCTAGGTCGACACAGATGCCCTATTTGACCTGATCACTGGTGGGTTTACTGCAGGGCTCTGGCCAGCTGCATCCTAAGCTCTGATCAGGTCACTGTTCCTTTGTACCCACTGCTGCCCACACTGCCCTGGAAGATTTGGCTCAGCCATTTCCAAGGGGACAGGGCTAAAACATCACAAACAGCATCCCTAGGGCCTCCCTAGGTAGGAGACATAGGGATGTCAAATCAGGCAGGAAGTGAGACCTTGGCTCTGTGCTACTCTTGAGTGCCCCCCATCTGTCTCTTCCTTTGGCTCCACATCTCTCTCTTGCCCTTCATCCTTTTCCTGACATGGGAGCATTTTCAGCACCCTCCACTGACCTTGACACCCCCATGAATGCACAGCTCCACTGCCCTCTACCTCTCTCAGATCAAAAGGTACTGGTGGGCTAGGGATGCAGCTCAGCAGCACAGTGCCTGCCTGGTAAATGCAAGGTCCTCAGTTTGATTCCCAGTACCAAAAACAAACAAAATACCTAACAGTACTGGTGTGGCTTGCAGAGGGGCTGGTGAGCACACAAGAGAAAAGCTTCTCACAGAAGCAGAAACTCTCCTCATGCCCTCAGTTTTGTCTATGAGTCTGGTCAAAAACTGACCTGGACAATATCTGAATCAAATTTCCCCATAAGGTCAGTATTGAATCTAACCATTGAATTTGATTCAGTTCTTGTCCAACTTGGTTTGGGATGAGAATTGTGGAGAGAACTGAGTTTGTGAACTGAGGTACCACTATACGATGAAGCTGGAGATCAGATGTGGTCTGTCTGGACCTAGACAGATTTTCACCCTCAAACTGGAGAACATATTCTCCTGTCCTAACAGAGACCACCCCCTGCCTGAGCTGGACTGGCTCCTCTGCCTACACGTCCTTCTGCACAGTCATGCACTTGTAGGACAACTTTTTGGTCAACAAGGGCCTGTGGATATGATGGCAAACCTATAAGATTCCATTGCCCAGTGACAGCACCCCAGTGACCTTTGTGTGAGCTGACCAGATCACATCCACACAATGATAAAATCTGCTAAAGACACAGTTCTCAGAAGATGTCCCCATCATGAAGTGGCACCAAATAATACAACAAACAAAAGTTGTAAAAGAAATAGTGGGGGGTGATCTAAGTACCCTAGGAGGTGTTTTGTTTTATTTTAATGTGTTTATTACAGGGTTTACAAGGTCTCACTATGTAGATCGGACTTGTAGTGATTCTCCTGTTTTCAGCCCCCCAAGTGCTGAGATTACAGGCATACTGCACCATACCTAGTCTCAATCGCCTGCTCAGTGTGCACCGTGAGTGGGGCTGGCATGGTACGCTGGGGGATCGAACCCCGGCCACTGCACTCTGCCTAAGCAGGCACTTTAGTCCACTGAGCTATCTGGCCAGCCCTCCCTATGAGTTTTAAAACTGTTTGGTTTCCATTTTCATTAAAATCATGGAGGCACCTGTTCCTTTCACTTTTTGCGATTTAACACAATACAGCAAGTCAGGGCCCACCCCTCCCCAGTGTTCTTCTCCTAAGCATAATCTTCTAAAATCATTTCCTTTTCTATATCTTTATGAATTTGTAATCAGCATTTTAAACTTCTGATTCCTGACTTTAAAGCTTTGGGCCTGAATTGACTTCCCACTGTGGAGGTGAAAACGCAATAATATGGTTCACTGACAACCTCATAAGCCCCCCTTCTCTTTCACA